GCCCACTTCGCTTTTGTCTGGCAAATTCCAGCTTGATCTGCTCCCGATGAGAGGCCATCCATCACTCCGCACACGCAGAGTCCCCGTGGCTCCATTTGACAGCTTTTATTCAGAGAGCTCCCCACGCCGCCGACGTCTTAATTATTGATGAGGCTCGCGGGGTAGGTAAGGCTCTGTTCTCAGCAGCGCCGCGTTCCAGCTCCCTTTCCCACCGAGTTCACCCACACGGCAGGGCGAGCTTTGCTTTGTGTGGGGAACCGCTGAACTGGAAAGGGCACTGCATTAGCATGTGCACGTCAGAGATGGGCAAGCCGGAGAGGGCAGCGTAGGCCACGCCACGCCAGGGCACGGAGGGGTGAGAGATTGGCCACGGTCTGTGTTCTTCCCTCGCTGCTTTGGGCTGATCCTCACGCCTTGAAGCAAAATAACTGGAGGCCTCTCTTCAAAGAAATGCCTCCGACGGGTCTTGCTCACTCACAACGGGGTCGCGCTGCTCTCGAGCATTCCCCGTTGGCCGCACGCTTTTGGCTCTGAGCTGTGGGTGGCCTTCTCTCCCTCGTGTCTCAGTCCTCCCCGAGCCGTGCTCGAGGCTCTGGAGGGCAGCAGGGACAATAAAAAGCCAAGCACTGTGGCCTGCTGAAGTTGGGCTGGGCCAGAGGGAGCCTTGCAAAAGCACGTTCGTCTTTGCAAGCTCTTGTGTATGGGGAAGCCCTGGGGCGTCTGGTGACAGGGCAGCGGTTGTGGTGCAAGGCGGAAGGGATGAGCACTAACCCAGCTGGACCACTAATAGCACTAGGCATTTTCCCCAGCCTTCCCTAGGGCTTTCTTCAGCCAGGTGATGAACAGAATTCATACCATAGTGTTGACGGGGAAAGGACAGGGGAGAACCTGGGGTAGCCAGGCCTCAGTTTACCGGCCTGAGAAATTCAGCTTGCAAGTGGACTTTGCAAGATCCTTCGAGAGCATCTCTGGAGTCCTCTCTAGGCACAGGCACAAAGGGCTCAGTTCTCTCTCGAGGAAGCTTTTCCGCCGTGTTGGTGATTTCGCTTGGACTGTCTGTCTGGGCGAACGTGCTCAGGCAGATCTCACAGGTGGCACGTGTTGGTAGCGCCTGAAGGGCTTGCATTAGAGGTGGGGATAACATCAAAAGAGCTACGGGTGGACTTTCAGAAGTGCCCTAAGGGACTGAGGAGCATAAATCCCACCAACGTTGCAGGGAGCTTTGACAGGATCTGCAGGGTCATCTGGCCCCAAGGCACAATGCTCCTCCTTGCATGAAATATTATTCCCCCTTAAAAGTCAGCCTGTATTTTAGAGCCTCCCCGAGTCTGTTTTGTCTTTTGCAAATGGCGTAAGTGAAGAAGGCCACCCAGCAGTGTGGTGTCAGTACCGCCAGGTGCAGCCCAAGCAAGTTTGACGCTGAGCTTGGGTTCTGCATGCAACTCTGTTGACCCCTGCAAGTCTGGACCGCCTCATCTATACCTGCTGAATTGCTTGGCTTTTCCCCCATTCATTTTGCTGCCTGCCTTCCCATGAAACCCAGCCCTCCAGCGAATAAGCCCAGCTAGGAAATTGAGTTCAGCCACACATGCATGCTCCCACACGCACACCAGCTCAGCCAGAGCCTTGCTATTATGGATTCAGAAGCAAATAAAGATCCTGGGTTGTTTGCACAGGTGACCAACAGGAAGGGAGTGTCAAGAGGCCCAGGCCTTGTGCTCTGTCTTGGCCCCCCAGTAACATTGCAGGATGCTTCTTGGTCGGCGGTGGCTGCAGAAGCTCGGTGGAAGGGCACTGCCTTTCCCCACCTGCTTTGGCACAGCTCTGCCACTCACTGTCAGAGTCCTGGGGTGAGTGTGTGGGCACACACGCGCTCTCTCTACCTGCTTCCCTATGGGCCCGGCCTCTCTTTCAGAATGAAATTTCCAATTCACCCCACTCCTGATTTGGCCTCCTTCTGCAAGTCCAGCTGGATCTGGCCCTTGCTGGCATCGTGACGACTGGCAGCTGGGACTAGAGGGCACACACAGAACAGAGTGATATATTTGTCTATAGGAACGTCTTGTCTATAGGAACGCCCTTCTGGAGGTTAACAATTACAAGACAGTGTTGGCTTTAGGCTTGTATCTCACTCTGATCAGGTTAAGGAAGCTTTGCTGGATCAGAGAACCGGGGATGGGCAAGGCTGTCCCTCCACACCTGCCTCCCTGCCAATCTAGGCGTCACTCATCCCTGTTCCCTCGCAGAGCGTCTGCTTTTTCCCTGGATTGGACAGAAGTGCGTGACTGGCTGCAGTCTGTCCAAACGAGGCTGTGTGCTCTACCAGCCTTTTCCCTTCCTTGATCTGTCTCCTGGCACGGAGCTTGTTGCAGGAGCCAAGCCTGCTTGTTGCAGGCTGTGCTGGGGGAAGGCAGGCGAGTGCGCGGCGCTGGAGGCTTCACAACCGCGGCACTGCTTCGTCCTGCTGGCTGCAGATCTACCAGTGGCAGCAGCAGCCTTCGCAGCAATGCCGCTTGGTGCTGGTTGGGTTTGGCTCGTCCGGGAGGATCGAAGCCACGCATGCAGCTCTGTGCCTCCCGTGCTGTTTCCACCGTGATAAACCTGAAGTCTGTTTTTCTGCCCCTGTTCCTCGTTCTGAAGGGCATGTGGGGAGCAGGGGCCGGGGGAATTGTTGCTGGCTTGGCCGGGGCATGGATTCCCCAAATACTTGGTAAAGCAGTGAAGCCCTGAGTCAGATCTGGGGAGACCCAGTTGATGCAGGAAAAAATAAAACCTCCTTCTCTTACAGCAGTTCCATGGTCGGTGTACTTGCCCCAAGCTCCGGGACAGGTCATCTGCAGGCCTGAGGCACGAGGAACCAGTCGCGCACAGCGTGGCCTGGAACGCCCATTTCTCTGCCCTGCGCTGTACCCCTGATCCCCTTCCCCAGCCCTCCCTCCTCTCTCCACCTGCCCCTCCAGCAACCTCTGCTTCCTGTCACTGCCGAATTTGGCACTCCGTGCTTTGGGCGTGGGATCCCACGGCTGAGGTGGCAGCCCACGGCTGGGCACACCAGCAGGGAGTAGTGCCTCACGGCAGCACCCAGCTCACAAGTGGCTGGGCCGGCGCCCTCCGAAGCCGACCCCTGCTCTGGCTGTCTGGCAGGTGGGTCTGAAATGTGCCAGGAGAGCTAAGCATAAGAAGACATAGCTTACCTGCACACTATGGGAGTTGGCAGTGATGTACCTAGGCTGTGGGGGGCATCACTGGAAGCCGCCCCACGTGTGCCCACTGTCCCCGGTGCCTGGCCGTATCATTTCACATCTGGGAGTTGCTGTCTGGGCTACAGTATGAAATGCGGCACCTGTTTCATAGATGGAAAAAAAGGCTGTGCTGAGTAGCTGCCACCTGGGGAGCCGGCCTGGGGGAGAGTTGCACAGCTGGCTACGGGAGCATGTTCATCACCTCTCGGAGCTGCAGCGCAGATGGGGTAGCTCTCAGCCGGGCACTTGGCTCTCTCCTCCGTCTTGGGCCTGGCTTCACAGCGCACCGTTTTATCTGGGTCAGCAAGAGCTCGCGGTATCACTTTGTGCCTGCTATTCTGTAGGGAAGGGGAAATCAGTGCACCAGCTAATGATCCAGCACATTGGCTCCGCCGGCAGCCTGCTGGTGGAAGAATGTTTTAATACAGCAATTGCTGTCCCGGAGGCAGTTAATTGAGTTAAGCAATTTTCCTTAGAGTTCAGAAGCCAGAGGAGTTTGTAAACGAACGCAGTGGCTCAGTGGTGGTCCCGTTATCTCCCTTGGTTTCGAAAGGTCAGAGCCACCACGAGAAACCCGATGACAGCGCAGAGTGGTTAGCCGCCTTGCAAAGAGCTGGGCTCCACTCCTGCACAGTCCAGCTGTGCTAATGGGCCCGTCTCCCTCTCATTACTGCGTGCAGTGAGATCAGAGCTAATGCATCCCCGTTTGATGCATAAATATCCCTGCTATTTCCTCCAGAGCATGCTGCCTGTCTAATCTAGAGTGCGCAGAGTGTATCGGGGTCTCCAGACCTGGCGCAGGTTGGGGCTGTGCCCACGATTTAGCTGGAAGCAGGAGGGCTGCAGCTCGTTGCATTGCAGTGGAGCGTAAATGCTGCCACCCCCCTTGGGAGCAGGAGCAATGCCTCCCATCCCCACTGGCAGGCATCCTCTCCATCAGAGCAGCCTTCATGTCGGATGAAGAAGGGGTCCCAGCACCCGCTGAGGCTGCAGCCCCGTGTTTCCGAGGCCAGCCCCGTTTTCTTAGCTTGGCCCATAAACCTCCCTGAGAAATCCTCGCCCAACACGTCTCTGTGCAGCTCCGCACTTGTTCTGCCACTCGTCGAAACGCGGGACTCATTTCCCCCCTTAAAGAAAACTGGCCGAAGCTGCACGTGGGATCTGAAAGCTCTTAGCAGATCCCTTCTTGGAGTCGAGGAGGACAGCTTTCCCGATCCCACCAGAGCCTCCTGCTGGACGCCGGGCCGCACTGCAGAACGGTCCTCGCAGCTCTTTAATAACTCGGCTGGGAGGAAAAATCTGTCACCTTTCCCTCTGCGGTTTCTCCTCGGCTCTAAGGCACCGGAGGAACAAGCCGGAGCCGGGAAAGCTTTCAGAGAAAGAGGCTCATGGGAACGACAGCTGCTGATGGAGAACACTCATTTCTTTAGTGTCTGAGGGGAACCGCAATGGCTTTGGTGGAGGGATGTGTGTGTGGGTGGGTTTGGAGGGGGCAGCCGTTCTGACCCAGGCATTTCAGAGGAACCACAAACACTTTATAGTAACAAAGGGTGGAAAAAGCGAGCACTTTTCTGCAACGCATGTGACTGTGCCCTGAGGTTTGGAGCCCCGCGCTCCGTTCCAGGCCACAGTGTTTGCGTGTCAGGCTCGGGGAGCTTGCTCGCTCCCAGAAGCCTTTCACGAAGTTGCTGTAGCGACTGAGAACGCCGCCTAAACTTGCTTTTCTTTTCTCCCTCCCCGCTTTTTCCCCCTCTGCAGCTGAAGCTCTCGTTTACCTTGGACAAGGAGAGTGGGATGCCTCAAGGCTGTTATGTCTATCAGTACCGGGACAGCAACAAGTAAGTCCCACGGATGATGGCGCTCAGGGCAGATAGGCACGGTGCGTCGAGAGGGAAATATCGCGGGTACCGTGCCCCCCTTCCCACCCGCTGGCAGTGGGATCGGACCTGCTTGTGATGCCGAGGCGTCAGTTGAGCGAGTTTTCGGCTCGGGTGCGAGAGCTGGGAGTAGCTGGTCAAGGATCCCCTGAGCCCAACAGCACTGGGCGAGCAAAGAGATAGGCCTGGGGCCAGACGTCGGAAGCACCCAGCGCCCACTCGGTGTCCCCGCACCCTTTGAGACACTGGCTGTTTTGCTTCGTTACCCAAGTGGCAGCTCTTCAAGCACTTTTGACTCGTCAGGGGCATTTGCCTCTGAAAACCCCAGGGTGCGCTGCACTGGGGTGCTTCCAACAGCATGGAGGCAAATCTGTCTCCCATCCCATTCTCTCCGGGCTCCAATGCACCTGGTGTCTTGCCCATTGGGGTCTCGTGGTCCTCCAAGAGCACCTCTGTACTCTGGATGGGACCCCTTCTGAAAGCAAAGCTTTCCACGGGCGGGAGCATGGGCTCCTCCATTTCCAGGTATTCCTGCCTAGTTTTACTAGTTGCTGCAGTGAGTTGGCGCCCAAAATGTTTTTGTTTCAAATCACGTTCTCATTATCAACTTGACAGCAGGCGCGCGGGGTAGTCCTGTGCTCACGCTGGGTGACTTGTCAGGAATACCAGTGTGTCATAAATCCATAGTCTCTCACCTCCACCTGCAAGCTAGGTTTCTTTTGCCAAATTTAGACCTTTAACCTAGAAAAGGAGGGCATGGGGAATTGCTTTCAGGAGCCCAGCCTACCTTAAGAGGATCTGGAGAACAATTCCAGCCCCTCAGAAATGTCTGTTAAAACACAATCTCCCTTTTTTTAAAGTTAGAAAATGATTTTGTTGTTGTTGAGGAAGTTGTTATTGAGGCCGTCCTGTCCTTCAGCACCCGTTTCATACCCTGTGCTCAAGCCTATGCCCCAAGCACCTCATCCCAGGTCTAGTAAGTGCAAAGAGCCACTAACAGCCACTCTGCTAAACGAACAAAAAAAAAGAAACCCAGGGAAATGCGCTGGTTAAATGCAAAAGGATCAAATCCGCTGGGAACAAATGTTTGTTTTCAAGCTTTTAAGAGGGAATTGTACATAATAGGCGGTGCGGAAAACACAATTATTAGTCCTATTAGGATCGTTATGGATGTTTATAGTTCCAGCATATCTGGTTGTATAACATCTAGCTTGAGGATCAGCAGCCTGTTCTGTGTCTCTCATTGTCAGTCCTTTCTCCATATGCTTTTTTGTGTACGTGCATTTGTGTCGTTGTTTTAAGAAACATCTGGGAAGGACTTTTTACTTTAACACTTTATGCCAGTAGCGTTGTCACCTGCAAAGCTTTCTTAGTACATCCTTGAATAGCTGAGCAAGAAGCAAACTAGCTATAAAATATGGTGGCAACTCTCTCTTCACAGAGCTTTGGTTCTGACCTCTATTCCTGGCCATGTTGGGCTTTGAGATGCTCAGGCCAAGTGTCAGCTGTGATCAAATTAAAGGGAAAAAAACCGGTATCCTAGCCAGGGCTAGTTGGATAGCAGCAATGCAAGGCCTCGCATGGCTGATTCAGTCAAACCCAGGGAAAATATTTCTTCCAATTCTCCTCCCAGTTGGTACCAGGTTTGTTGCTTTCTGTTTTGTACTGTGCAGCTCATTTCATCAGTCAGAAGGGCTGGGGTTTAAGAAAGTCCTTGATAACCCATAACAAATGGGTTATATCAAGGGTTTGTGTGTGTTAGTTGAAGAGGTTTTTCCCCCTGAGCCCAATACATCCAGCCTGGGGGAGTAAGGAATACATGCAAAATGCATTGAAATGGGAGGGCAAGAGCAGTCTTTTAGCTTATGAACGAGGTTGCCTCTGTGTGATAGGTCTGGCTGGCTTTTGCAGGTAAGATGTCCCTTTGCCAAACAAGCTCAGTTCCTTTCGGGGACTATAGAGTCACACTGGGGTTGGACTGGGATACCTGTGCGTGCTCTGCTCCTTATTGCAGGCAGTTGGTTTTGCCCTGAATTAACAGAGTGAAGTGGACTGGCAGGGAATTCATCTCCGACGCGGTTTCTTCCCTTACCCACGCAGCTGAGATGTGATGAAGAGCCCCTCATTCATGGATGCTTACCCCTTTATTGGATGTAATTTCATTCAGAGTTCAGCACATTACCACGCCAGTCCCCATGGCAGTCTTCCCTTTGCAGACATCACAGTGCAGACTTTTAGGCACGGCTCTACACACAGCTAATGACCAAGCTACACTGGTATAGAAACATTTGATACTGGTATAGTATGGTTCAGTGACATTTTATACTGGTATAGTATGGTTCAGTAATAAAATGTTACTATGCCAGTGTAAAATGCCTAACTGCCATTAGGCAAGCTGTGCTGCTTTAACCACACTCACAGCATGAGTTCAGTGGATGTTGTGTGTGTGTAAGAGGTGTCTCAGAGATGTTTGCAAATCAGGAAAGAGATGCTGGCGGTATTGTGTGTCCCCATGCAAGCATGCGAGTGATAGGTAATATGCATCTTCTGGCTAAGATTCGGATAAAGCATCTGCCATTGTGGGTTAGCAGCTGAGGATGGAACAAGTGAGGGGGTGAGGGCGATAGGTGTTTGCAGCAGGATAGCATAAGTAGCTCCCGAGATGGACAGTATAACTGGCCCTTCAGATATGACAGCCTTCAAAGCCTCGCTGCACCATCCTCTGCGCATCCAGAGTTCTTAGGATCATAGGAAAGTCAGGCTGGAAGGGATCTCACAAGGCCCCCGCAACAGGTAGGATCGTCTCTGACTAAACCATCCCAGCCAAGTGTCCGTCCAACCTGGTCTTGAAAATTTCCAAGGATGGAGATTCGACTTCTCAGTGCCTGTTCCACTGCCTGAGCACCCTAATAGTCAGAAAGTTCCTCCTAATCTCCAGCATAAATTTCCTCTGCTGCAGCTTGAGACCTTTGCTCCTAGTCCTGTTGGGGCCCCAGAGAAAAGTCCATCTCCAACCTCTCCATAATCACCTTGCAGGTATTTGAAAACTGTTATCAAGTCTCCCCTAAGTCTTCTCTTCTCCGGTTCCCGAGTTCTTTCAGTCTGCTCTCACAAGTCACGCTGTCCACATCTCTCATTGTTTCTGTTGCTCTCCGCTGGACTCGTCCCAATCTTCATATCTTTCTTGAAGCTTGGGGCCCAAAACTGGACACAGGACACCAGTGCTGAATAGAGCAGGAGGCTCACCTCACCTGACCTCCGTGCGTTCTCAAGGAGGATAGCTAATGGCTCTGAGCTGCGTGTGATAAATTATGGGATGCAGTGATCATGGGCTCCAGGCATCAGTGACCCTTCATCGAGGCAAGAGTCCTCCTCTAGGATGGTGAACGCTGCCCAGAGAGGGTCACTTTGGCACAGTACGTAGTGGCTTTGTATTTGCCGAACAAAAGACTCCTATTTTTGGAATCTCCAGCTTTAACGTGTAATTACCAAAGCAATTAAGTTTTCTATTACCTAGGCTGGAAGGGCAGGTGCTGTTCAGGATCTCACAAGGGTGATGTACTGGAATGTGTTTCCCGTAAGATAACATAATGTTCTGTTAATGAAACTTTGCCTCCTTGCTGCAACTGCTACTCGGCTGTCATTGTTTTTGGCCCTGGAGCTACAGATCCGTTGTTGCTCTCGTTACAAATCACCTCCATATTAGGAACAGCTTAAAGCATTGCCTACTTGTATGCAAAGTGTGGTAGGGAAAAGGGCACCCAAAATGCCTAGCAAGTTTATTCATAGCACCCTTCATCCTGAGGGATGCCCAGGTGTTCGGCAAGCTGTAACACAGACAGCAGGCACCTCTTCGTGGGATGGTGGCAGCCAACTGGAGCAGGGTGCCCTGTGCAGGATTAGCAGGCAAGATCCCGGGGCCTTGGGAAGGCGGAGAGGTCTGGAGTGAGCGTGAGCAGCAGACAAGGCTGCTGTGTTGGGTCCCTTTGTGCCATCCTGGGGTGACCCACATGGATCTTCACTGCCTGCCTTGGCAGAAATGACAGGCCAAATCGACCTGGGTCGAGCAGGAGTGGTAACTCCACAGAGTCCAGGGTTTCACAGCTGAGACTCGATCTCTGACGCCTTCCCAGCTGGCTTTCTGGTTCATATGCCTTGAATGTTTCTTCACCATATCAGCTCTGCTGTACGGAGCAAGCCTTCTCGGTTTGTACAGACCGCTGTAGCTGGGCGTTTCCTAGGGAAACACTGTTTTCACGTTGGGAAGCCTGGCCCCCACCCATCATTGTTTTCGATTGCTAGCCCAGATTGGCCCTAGACCTCATTGCACTGCATCTTCCTTGTCCCCCAGCTTGCCCACCACGAACACCTTTCTCCACCTTGTGACCACAAATGCTTCCCCCCGCCTGCAGCGCTGAGAGCCCAGCCCCTCAACAGGGAGATGGACTGGCTTCAAAGCCCCGCGCCCCGTGACCCTTTCTGAGGGTGTTACTGGATCAGCCACCGCAGCACTCAGGCAGGCAGTGGTGGGTAGTGGTTTCAGCTGTGCTGAGAGACCGATCGGCAGCCTGAAGGACACACCAACCATCGGAAATTTTCTTGGGCTCCTTCTTTGTCCAGACTTATCCTCAAAGCAAAAGCAGTCTGAGTCCAAAGATGATCTGGCTTGCTGCCTATTCTCAGGGGAAATCAGATGCCTGGCCTTTTGTGTCGGCTGTAATCTGAAGAGAGAAGACCAGGTTTGTGTCTTCTGTCTCCACCCCCTGGGTTTCTGAGCCCTTGTGCACAGTGAGTCCATCTCCCTAATCGCTTTCCTTCCCTCTGAAGTCCCTCCAGCTGGCCCATCTTTCCAAGGAGGAGAGCGGTATTCCAGGTCTTCTGTTACCCAAGGAGCAGAGTTGCTGTCAGTCTCTGACAAGACGCCTCCCATCAGTGTGCTTTGCTTCCAGATCATGCCACTG